ACTTAATGACTGTTTTCGGAGAAAACATTTGCATGTTCTTTAAAATAACGCAACCCCTAGCCGCATTGTCCGGAGTGGAAAGTTGTTTTACGAGCGTCACTAACGGAAATTAACTGGTTTAAACTGTATGATGCAGTTGCCCACAGAAGCAGTGTTATCTTCTTAAATTCAATAAACTTACGTCGCCGTGGCTGCCTGAGGAACAACAGCAGCAACAGATGAGGGAGACAACAAAGATGGCTACGAGGCCCAGTGACGCGAAGACCAAGCACACAATGAAGGCGACGATGAGTTTGCCTTCATTGTTCGGATGTGCAATGGCTTGATTCACGCCTTGCTCGCCTCCTCCCAGATCCACGGGCAGGGCCTCCAATACGGCCAAGTCTGCTTTCGTCAGCTTCCCCCACACTATGTTCATCACCTGAGTACTGAGTCCGGAGAAATCTGATATGATTTCAAAGGTGACATTCGAACTGCCCTGCGACCGTACGGGCTTCATGACCACATTAAGCAGACCGCCATTCTGATATTGCAGCATCCAGGCAAAGGCCATGGCCACGCAGCCGAGGACCGATGGTATGATCATGGTTCTTGATATCTACAAATAAACGTTGAAAATGGTTTGGTTACGAACTCGCGTGTGTAAGAGTTTGAAGTTCGGCATGTTAGAATGGCCGGTAGAGCTAGCTATACAGTGAGATGTTATGCAAATACAGCATAGTCGACACAATTGTCCTTACATCGAAATGTGGTTCTTTTTTCAAAACATAAGCAACGTTAAAAGTTGCCATTTCTACAACTGAAACGACACAGTAGAAAATAGCGTCTACTTAAAACAAGTAGGGTGTCGAATGTTTAATTAAATACATTGGTGACAATTTTAAATCATCTCTCCAGAATGTCTCATGAAAACAACTACTTGTCACAGATTTATTCTAAAAAGCTCGAAAACGGACATTCATTTCAATAAAAAAATATATAAACAGCGGTTTCACAACATGAAATAACGAGAAGCATATAACTCACAAATTAGCTTGCTTACAACTATCAGCGACGCCTAATCTTTCTGGCCCCAAAAGGGCATATGCGATTGCTTTAACTGGCAAACGGAAATCTGTTCTTCTTTTCAATAACTGTGGCGTCCTTTAGGGTTCCAGCTTTTCGTCTCCCAATTTCGCCTTCATGCCGATGACCTGAACTCGCCACAATGACTATGTGTATACTTTTATGCGGAGGATAGAGTAGTTAATCATCCGCTGGAAAATCAAACTCATCTCCGGTTTCTGAATGATGGCTTGGATCATATTACTGTATAGTCATAAATTAATCTAGTGCACTTTCCGAGTGCTATCCTCTCGCGCTCAGGATCTTTGGGCATTCTTCCTAATGAGGTATCCCCTTTCCAGTACCTTGATATTATTCTTCAAACTTAACCTAAATGTTTTAACTTTGTGTAGTATATTCGTTGCTTAGCTTCCTATCTCACACCCCAGCCCCTAATCTCGAGACTTGTAGACGCCACAATTCTTCTGCTTATATTTTTCGTTCTACTATAGTCCAAATGTGTTCTTATGCTGCTGTTTTTTCTCGTGTCAAGCAATTTGCTGACTGAATTCCCATGATGTTTTCGTCCATCCATTTCACTCTGACCCTCCGCCGCATACTGCGATGTCCTAGCACCCCATGCACTTCTAAGATACATTTTGCTGTATTACTATTTCTGACACGATACCTTACGTTTTAAGAGATAAAAATAGTAAAAATCAGACTTCA